CAGTCACCAACAGTGTTGCCAAGTTCAAGGGACATAGTTGTGGAAAGGAAAGCTCTAAACTCTGCAGAATAGGTAGAGAGAGGTACAAAGCAAATACAGTATGTGTGATCATGATGATGATGGAGGAGAAGTCCAAAGAGTACCTGATGGGACCAGTTTGGTATAGAATCAGTGGTGGCCTCCAGGAAGAGCAATATTTATGCTGGGCCCCGAATGATGAATAGGAGCGCCAAAGAGGTTCAACGCTTAGAGTTGCAGTGAGAAATAAGATCAGAGAGATAAGATGAGGTCACATCATAAAGTCAAGCTATCGCTGGGCGCCGGTGGCTCACGCCTGTAATCCTAGCTACTCAGGAGGCTGAGATCTGAGAATTGTGGTTCAAAGCCAGCTGGGGCAGGAAAATCTGTGAAACTCTTATCTCCAATAAGAGATAACCACCGGAAGTGGTGCTGTGGCTCAAGTGGTAGAGCACTCGCCTTGAGCTGAAGAGCTGAGGGATAGCTCTCAGGCCCAGAGTTCAAGCCCCATGACCGACAAAAAAAAAAAAAAGAGTCAAGCTATATTACAGAATTTGAACTTTATCTTAAAGAGGTGCCGTTATACACCTTGATTGACTGGGGGAATGGCATAATGCGAGTCATGTAGTGTAAGATGTGCAGCAATGATAACAGGGACAAGAACTGGAGTGAGGGACATCAAAAGGCGGTGCCTCCATGGAGGCCAGTGATGAGGGAGCCTGGACAGGTGTGGAGTGAGGGTGGATGGAACTGCATGAGCTTCAGATAATGCAGAATTGGAACAGGGACAGAGGGTGCTTGGTTTCTAGCGTGAACTGGGCAGTATTTGGGCCAGCAACCAACAAAAAACTAGGCACCAAATAAGCTTGCCAAGACTGCCTCTGTTAAAGCACAAATGGTACCAGTGGAAGAGTATGTTTGCATCTCAGGGAGCGTGTATCCACGGGTGCTTCATTCCCATTTCCACCCGGTGCAGGCGGCGTTCCCTTCTGCCTCCACCTACTTAAAATGCCCAGCTGGGATCTGCTGGGCTAGACACAATTCAATATTCCTTTTTTCTTTAAGCAGTTTATTTTTAATTAATGTCTACAAAATGTACATGTTCATGACACTCAATGTAATAGTCCAAGGCAAGGATGCACCGTGTGCTAATCAAATCCAGCCTTCCTTTACCCTCTCTCCCCCAGCCTCTAGTGCTCACTATTCTATGCCCCCAGTAAGAACATGTGCTATTTTTCTTTATCTGGCTTATTTTGCTGCATACAATGTCCCCTAGTTCTATCCAGACCCCAATCTCTTTGAACAAAAACCAGTTCAGAACGGATCACAGATCCAAATATAAGATCTGAGGATCTGGAACTACTAGAAGAAAACATACGGGAAGCACTGCAGATGCTGAAATAGGCAATGAGTTTTTTGGACAGGACCCTAAAAATACAGGAAATAAAAGTAAAAATGGACAAATGGGATTTCATCAATCTGAAAAACCTCACAGCCAAGGAAATAACCAACGAAGAGGAGAGACAATGTACAGAATAGGAAAAATACTTTCCAATTACTCATATGACAAAAGATTAATATCTAGAATATAGAAGAAACTTAAAACGAAGCCCCAGGGAATACAGTTTGAAAAGGACAAACTATCTGAATAGACAGCTTCCAAAAGAAAAAAAAATATCAATGGTCAACAAATACGTTTCCAGTCACCAGTAGAAATCAGGAAACACTGCCTCTGTTTCCTCCCAGAAAGAGGGACACATACAGATCCCCAACTTCCTCCAGCCACTAGCACCATTATTACCAATAACTCTGCAATAATTCCATTTTGGTAATTTCCTTGGTGTTTTCCAGTTACAGTAACATTAAAACTTCTACTCAATAGTACTATTATAGTTTTCCATTGCTAATGGGATTAGTAGTTTTATCATTTGTGTTGGAAATCCATTAGCATAAAATTTACCTCCAACAACCTTTTGTGGTTTTCAATGCCCCTGAAACCTGCCATGAACGCTAAGTCTATAATAAGGGAACACTGGTAAGCATATGTCTTTTGTTGGAAAAGAGGGTTTTTCATTTTCATCCTGCATGGATTGGAGTTCTTTGATAGAGCAAGTGACAGGATATTAGGTATGAAAGGCAGAGAAGTTTGTAGATGTGTTCAAAGAAAACATCTGTGAGGATTCATATTCTTGCTCCTTTTTATGTTATTATTTTTTATCTGACTCACAGAAAACTATAAGCTGTGTTCTTGCAGGAAGTAAGATTTAGGGTCATGAATCATTTGGAAGTGGAGAGACACCAAGATTATGCTCTCATTTGACTTCTGAAGAGGTTGGGGAGCTTGAAACATGGCCAGCAGAGGCCCCTTCAGTGCAGGTGGAGGACAGTAAGGTGGGTAAGCATCATAGAATGGCCTTTTTGAAATTATTAACTAGTTTGGAACAAGGGACCCTATACCTGCACAGGGCTCTGCATAGTATACATCTGATACTGTGTATAGGCTTTGAAGCTAGATGGACAGGGGCTCAAGTTGTGTGTGTATGAGTGTGTGTGTGTGTGTGTGTGTGTGTGTGTGTGTGTGTGTGTGTGTTTTAATCCCCCTTGGATTCCTTATATGAAGAACAGATATGAAGGAAGCTAACAATAGATGCCCAGCACCCAAGGCCCCGAAGTGTGGTGGCCTTGAAGTGTGGTGACAGACATTGACATATGATCCCCATTCGGAGTCCCCATAATTAAAGTTACTATGACTGATGTCGGGAAATGCCAGCCAGCCAGCCAGCTGGGATAGCCAGACATTGCGGTGTGGTATACAAGCCAGTCCCAGGCCAGCTGGTTAGGACCACACTAAGCAAAGAACTTTCCCAAACAGGGACGTTGTAAGGCTGGGGTCCTAGAGATGAATTTCTACCTTTTTTATTTTGTTATGAAATATAACCCATCATGTATAACTCTTGCTTTTTCCTCTCCAGAAACTTTGCCAGATGGTCAATAGTAAGGCTAGCATTACTATGAAGATGCCCTTGAGCTTGGTCTGATTTACTTGCAAACTTGAGGGTTTTAGCTGTTATTTGTAACAAATGATTTTGAGCATTGCGTCCCACACCACAGAGGGGGACAAGACTGGAAGGTGAGGGGTTGTCATAATCCCATGTTTGAGGCAGAAACATGGACCATTAGGATTCTAGGTAAGGGGCGCTACCACTCATTCCCCACTACAGGCCAGACAGACCAGCACCAGCCTGGAGGGAGCCCTTCTGACATTACTCTCTATAGCCTGAAGAGGCCTGGTAGCCAGCATCAGGGAACAGAGTAGCTAGATGCTGACCTTGTGGTGATTGCATGCAAGCCCAGGACATCTGGTCAAACACTTTGGTTTTCTTTCCCCCCAAGAAATAAAAATACTTTAAATCAAATTAATAAGAAACACAAGCTTATTCTTGGGCATGTTTCAACTCTAATCCAACACAATTCCTCAGGGGATTTCAGTGGAGTCAGAATGACCTGTGTGGCATTCAGTTCATAAGGTTGAGGAACAGCTGGGAATCCAGATGGTGGACTTCAAGAAAAGTCACTGCCATGCTAACTCCTCATCCGGCTCAGGAACATATTGTAAGGGGCACCTGTGGACCTGGGGCCTCCTGAAGTGTGTCAGGTGGTGTGGGATAGAAGCCCAACAAGGTGACTGGCCTCTCAGGGGCCTGTTGACACCCAAGCGTGGTTTGCTAGCTCCTTCCATCCGTTCTCCCTTTCTCCCTCCGTCCCTCTGTCCCTCCTTCCTTCCTCTCCCTCCCTTCCTTCTCTTTCTCCCTTCCTTCCTTCCTCCCTCCCTCCCTTCCTTCATTTATTCCTTCTTCCTTCCTCTCTCCCTCTCTCCCTTCCTTCCTCTCTCCCTTTCTCTATCCTTTCCCCTTCCTTCCTTTCTTCTTCTTTCTCCTTCCTTCTCTCCCTCCCTCCCTTCCTTCCTTCCTTCCCTTAGAACAAATGGGAAGTGGGCAATGAAGTATGGCTTCCTACAGGGCATTCTCAGGCCAGAGAGGATTCTGTGGGTAGGGACAGTTGAAGCTGGATGGTTGCTTCATAGATATCTTCTTCCAATGCCTTTCTCTAGTGTTAACTGGATCAGGTGGTTTTTGTTTGTTTGTTTGTTTTTTTGGTTTTTTGTTTTTCTTTTGGCCAGTCCTGGGGCTTGAACTCAGGGCCTGGGTGCTGTCTCTGAGCTTCTTTGTGCTCAAGGCTAATGCTCTACCACTGAGCCACAGCGCCACTTGTGGCTTTTTCTGAGTAATTTTATTGGAGATAAGAGTCTCACAGACTTTCTTGCCCAGGCTGGCTTTGAACCATGATGCTCAGATTTTAGCCTCCTGAGTAGCTAGGATTACAGGTATGAGCCACTGGCACCCGGCTAGATCAGGTTTTCAATGTAAGTCAAAATGGAATGGTCAACCAAACAAACCAAGAATGACAGGACGCTCCTCCCTCATCTCTCAGTGGTAGGAGGCTGGCTCCTGGGCCTGTACAACATGTCCTGCAGATGCTTCAATACACAATGCTTATGACTAAGGACTGGTGAATTTATCAGACATCTCAAAATATAGTTGCAAAAAGCATATGCCAATACACAAATGTTGATTTTTGGAAGTGGCCATTTGGCTGAGACAGCTTGAGACAACCCCATCTGTAAGGATCATAGTAAGGAAACCATAAATCACTGCTTTGAGTCTCAGGAGACCAGAGACATGCCCAACAGTAGAGCTACCACAGACGCATTTAGCATCAGCTGACCAACACACTGATGCAGGCAGGGAAACCTCAGATATGTGTGGCCCATCTTCTACTTAACACAAAAACCCTAAACTGAGCAAACAGCTTTTTTTCCAGCTCATTGTATGGCAACTTTCAAGCTCCTGGAAAAGAAACTCTCAGGGGTATTTTGCATTTCTGACAGTCAGCTAATCTGCTCTTTTTTTTTTTTTTCTTACCTGTTGTCGAATTTCTTCCTCCATCTTCACTGGTGAGCCCAATTCTGCAACTTGTTTGACGCCTTCACTGGCATAGCCTCCATATTCCCACAGCACATAGTTTTTGGAGTGGGATCCACCAATGATTGCAGACCAGTGATTGGCTCGACCTGAGAAAGCCAATCAGGATGCAAATGTCAGTATGGATGTGGCTGAAACAGGAATGCCTTAAATAATGGGGAGAGAAGAGTAATGGGATTCAGCCAGCAAGTACCCTTGACTAAGCATCCCTCTTAGACCTAGCAAACTGTTTGGGCCGCCTGCCCCCAGTGATTAGACAGAATCCCTATTAACAGTAAGCCTCGGAAATGTGGGCAGGTATGCTCAAGCCAGAGGCAGTTCAGTGGTGCCTTCTGTCTCAAGGGTCTTGGAGAAGGGAACAGTTGAGAAAATTCAAAAGGCTGATCAGCTTTGTGGGGCAGAATAGAGAGGAAAGGCTATTTCTGTCCAACTCAGAAACATTAAAGAACACAGTATGCCTGGAGAGCCATCAGTAATTTTACATTGCTGTGTCACAACCTGTAAAGAAAGAGTTAGGAGTTAGGAGTCGATGCTGGGGAGGTATCATGAGTCGTAAGAAGCCTGCCCATGAGTGGCCTTGCTAAACTCCCCTTCAGGAGTTTAGATGTCATCTGAAGGGTTCTGAGCAGGGGAGTGACATGATTGCATTTGAATTTTAGATAAATCACCTAGGCAGCGGTGTGAAGGATGCATTAGAGAGAGTAAAATTGGAGTGGAAAGCAAGGGAGGTGAGCAAAGAGGGGGAGCTATGGAGGGGGTGGGAGTGAGGGAAACAGCCGTTAGCAATTCTCAGCATTAAACACGGCTGTGTTCAGCTGATCTTAGGTACATTCAGTGTGAAGGGTGAGCAGGCACCCTTAAGAACAGCGTAGGTCTCCTGGATGTACGGTGACCAGGCCACACTGACTAGTGTGACCCTGCGGGATGACAGTTGCAGCAGAGCATGAGAGGAATAAAATCAAAAGGGAACCAGCAAGACCTGAGCAGGGCCAAGACTGGGGGACATTTCACCAAAGTCCTCAAAGGAGAAAAGGGGAACGGACGGTCAAGGTCAGTACAATAGTGGGTTTATGTTTGTTTGACTTTGAGGCATTGTCTTGCTATGAGGCCCAAGCTAGCCTCAAAATGACAATGTTCTTGGACCTCTGGATTGCTGGGATTCCACCATCAGTTGCTTGCATTTATTTTGGCATTACTATGACTATAGATGCATCCCTGTTCTGGTTCATTTCTCAGCCATTCATTCTTTCTTTTACAAAGTTGCAAGTTGAAGAACAGTGAAGGAAAAAAAAAATTGAATTGGATAAACACACTTGACAATTTTTGTTTACCGTGGCCCGGAGTGGGCAGAACATTTCACTCTACCATCTACCAAAAGGATTTTCAACAGGTGCTGGCCCTGTTTATACAGCTGCCATTGCTACCCCACAGCCTTTCCCTTCAAGAGACCAGACAAACATAGGCATCAAGCCAGGCTGCATTCTCCTGGCCCGCTGAGGGCAGCCCTGTTCACCCCAGGCAGATGACATCACCAAGCAGGTCTGCCCAATTGCTTGCTCATCATCTCCTACACAGCAGAAAGGGAATGCAAGCACCACCTTTATCCCTCTTCTCCCTAAAGATGAATGGAGATGCTGGTAGGGAGAAAGTCCTAGTTATCATCTGTGCTAAGAGCACGCTTGTGTAGGGGCAAGGACTGGTAGCTTGTTGTGACCTTTGGCTCATGATGGAAACACTCAGACCAGCTGCTGCAACCCTTGCTGCGTCTGTGCCATTCCACTGAAACGCTCCCTTATCCCAGGCCTGCCCTGCCAGTAATTCTGTACAGAGGCTCAGCATATGTTGGTCTCTCTGTGTTCTTCTCTTGCCCAGACTGGCCAACTCCTATTCCTCCTTCATAATGAATGCTTGTCCCTTGTCTCCCTGTTACACAGACCACATTTCCGATGATTGTGGCCCCACTAGACTGTAAGCTCCCTGAAGGAGTCTGCTTTCAGCATTTGCATGGTTCATTGCAAGTGCTCGGTACTTGTGAGTGCTCAGTACATTTCCAGAAGCCTTTCATCCAAACAACTAAACAAGGAGGAGACACAGCGGAGACCAGCCTTGTCCATGTTTGATTAATGTGATTACCTGCAAGTCTCAGGTCAGCGGAGTTCCTGACACTACTAAGCTAAAGGACTCAACTACCTTTCATGCTGTTATCTAACCAAACACCACAGGAAGAAGGAAAGACAGACAGACAGGCCCTGGCCTTCCAGCTAGCAATTTGAGCTCTAAATTCAATTACTTTATTTTCCTGAGTTTCAGCTCCCTCTCTTCTAATTCAGGGATGATTATGCCTGCCTTATTGACCTACTGTGAGAATTAAATTTTTTTAAATGAGATAATATACGTGAAACCACTACTGGCACAGAATAGACAATAATTACGGTTTCTTCCTTTTATGGTGGTTAGGGAGGTTTCAAACACCAGTAAGATGTGCAACCTGACCTTTATTCAGTATAAAAGACAGAAATGCATATAATAAGGAGGAGGATAATGGAGTGAGAATAGGCACTCTCGGGGGAATGAGGGATGAGCCAGGTGTGTCTTCCTGCTTTCTTCAACTTTCATTAGTTATGTGCCAAGCACAGTGGAGGCCGTGACACAGACAGGAATAGGATCTTTCTGTCACTTTCCCAGAGGGACTCAGTCTGGGGGTGGGGAAGACAGATGGATAAGCAGATTAACTACAATCCGGCTTGTCAGATTATTACACAACAAGAAAGCATTTAAGTCCAAATTCCCTAAAATCCAGGGAATTAAAGTCCAGTGGCTTGAGTACAGACAGAGAAGCAGATACCGTCACATCGCAATTGGTTTTGCCAGTTTGCTCTCTAGAACAAAAGGTCTACCTTCTATACAATATAGGTATTAGTTTCCCACAATGACTTTGCAGCATAAGACAATGAATTCAAATGTCAACACATTTAATGCCAGCCAAATAACAGATATGTGCAGGTGCCTGGACGTGGGGTGGGGAAACTGCTTCCTCCTGGGGGTGGTGAGTCAGGTACTAAGATCAGAATGAGTTTTAGAAACAGAACTGTTGTGTGATCCAGCAATCTCATGGCTGTGTGTATACCCAAAGAAAACATATAAGTGTGTATACATACACCAGTTTGGGTGGCTTTCCATAGGATGAGTTAAAAGTTAAACCAAAATCCAGAGGCATCAAGGTGAGAAGCTGTGGGCTGGTCCAGGGGAGAAAGATGTGGTGACCTAAAGCCATTAAGATTTGGCTTCAGGCTTACATTTGTGACTATTAATCAGTCATGAACCCCTCTAAGTTCACAGTTTCCCTTTTATGTATGTGTGTATTCACTGATGTGCTTGTGATAGAATCTGGGGTGTCTTGTACTCGGGGCAGGTGCTGTAGTCCTGAGCTACACTCCCAGCCTCTCCCACCATTTTAAAAATAGAGAGAACAGTTGCAAGGCTGGACAACCTCCCAGAGTTGTACACATTAATTGGGATGGTTTTGGAAAGAACTGGGAAGCTGTGAAAACTGTAGAAAACAAAGGTCTCAGTATTATTTCAGACTGAAAGCACTGTGGGAATCTATAAGAAGAGTAAAAAAGAAGGTACAGAAACAACGAAACTTTCCCAGTGAACAAAGGATGGATTCCAGAGACAGAATAAAAAGAAGGGAGGTGAGCAGACTAGGCTGTAGGACCGAAGAGATGAAACAAAATTCTCTTCACAACAGAACTAGGAGAATCAAATATCTCCCATCCTGCCTTGCATTTGATCATGCTTATCCTCTGGATGAGGCCCAACAGGGTTTAAGGAGCATGGCGAAGCTCACAGAACTAGCAAGGGAGTGCTGGGTCTGAACCTCAGGTCTGCCTGGCTCCACATGCTTGCTGTTTCTCCTACATCCCACATCTCACTGTGAGATCAAGAAATAAAAGAGACCATTTGTGCTGGGAATGTGGCTTGGTGGTAGAGTGCTGGCCTAGCATGCATGAAGCCCCAAGTTTGATTCTATAGTACCCCATGAATAGAAGCCAGAAGTGTTGCTGTGGCTGAAGTGAGCATAGCCTTAGTACACAGAGGCTCAGGGAAAGAGAGCAGGCACTGAGTTCAAGCCCCAGGACTGGCAAAAAATAATAATAATACATTTTTTTTTTTAAAAAGAGACCATTTAGAGGCCCACAGAGTAGGAGGGCAATGAGATTGGATGGAACACAATGAATGGACTAGTTGGAAGAGTCATGAGTGGCCATGTGGCCAATAGCACAAACAGGGGGAAGTGTGCTGAAAGATTTCATTTGGGAAGGATGATGCAATAGTGAATGTGCACTGAGCCTTTCCTATGTGTCCAGCGCTAGGCAGAGACCTACCTTACCTCCATCATTATTCAGACACAGATGCTATCACATTTTCCCCTGTGAAACTTGGACTTAAGGAGTGCAACCCAAGGCCACAAAAATAGGTGAGTGAAGATACTGGGTTGAAAGTTGGGTCTGTCTGATGCAGGACCAATTCTTTTCTACACACTACCATGAAAGGCACCCATGGAAGGAAGGGGCACGAAGATAAAGAAGAGGCAAGGACAAAGGGCTGATCACTCTCAATTTCAGTTTCTTCATCTGTAAAGGAAGGGGAGTGTCAGGATCAGACTCCTAGTGCTATTTCTGAGGCTCAAGTCCATGAAACAGTTGCTGGCACATGAAATGCCCTCCATTTCTAATAAATAAAATTAAATAAAAGTGGGAGAGGACAAATCCAGACCAGTTTCTGGAAGCCGTGATAACCCAAAGGAAACTTTATTGGGTGATTAAAAACTAGTGGGTGGAGAAGCAGAAACATGGTATACAAGGATCTGAGTCAGGAAAAATGGCAGGGAATCATCTAATGGGACTCAATGGTCTGGGGCCTATGGAATGAGATGGCTTGGGAGAGCCCAGTTAGCTGGAAGAAGGAGGTTTGTCCTAGACCATCCTCTAGGAAATAAGGAAGTAGAGAGAAAGAAGAACCTGGTATTAGGAGGCCTAGAGAGATAAGGATGAGATTGATGCTTGTGGCTTCCTGAAAAGAAGAA